GTCTCAGTTTTCTAACATCCTTGTTCATCTTTTTGATTGTAGCTATTTCGGTAGATAAGTGGTATCTCATTGTAATTTCAATTTTCGTTTCCCTACTGACTACTCATGTTGAGCATTTTTCGTGTGATTATTGCCCATTTGTACATCTTCAGTAAAATGTCTATTCAAGTCTTTGCTCATTTTGTAATTGGGTTGTTTGTTTTCTTATTATTCAGCTCTCAGAGTTTTTTCTATGTTCTGGACACAAGTTTGTTTTTTATTTTTTTAGTTTATTCTTTTTTTTTTTTTCATTTCTGCTTTATTGATATACAAGCTTGTAAAATTTTTTTTTAATGTTTATTTTTGAGAGGGAGAAACAGAGCACGAGTAGGGGAGGGGCAGAGAGAGAGACACACAGAATCTGAAGCAGGCTCCAGGCTCTGAACTGTCAGCACAGAGCCCAACGTGGGTCTTGAACCCACGAACCGCGAGATCATGACCTGAGCCAAAGTCAGTCACTCAACTGACTGAGCCATCCAGGTGCCCCGCCATTCTCATTTTCTTTAAATTTTTTGAAGAACCTCTATACTGTTTTCTATAGTGTCTGCACCAATTTGCATTCCCAGCAGTAACACACAGGGGTTCCCTTTTTTCTGGGTCTTCACCAGTACCCCTCCCTTACCTTTTCGATAACCTCCTGACAGGTGTGAAGTGATACCTCATTGTGGTTTTGATTTGCATTTCCCTGAGCACCTTTTCATATACATGTTCACCATGTGTATGTTTTTTTGGAAAAATATCTGGCTTCTTGGTCCATTTTTAAAAATTATTTTTCTAAAAAAAAATGTTCATTTATTTTGAGAGAGAGAGAGAGTTCATGTGTAAGTGAGAGGGAAAGAATCCCAGGCAGCCTCCTCACTGTCTGCACAGAGCCTGACACGGGGCTCAATCCCACCAACTGGAGATCATGTCCTGAGCCTGAGCTGAAATCAAGAGCCAGACATTTAACCACCTGAAGCACCCGGGAACCCCTGCCTTAGTCCATTTTTTTTAATTAGATTGGGTTTTTGTTTTTCTTTTGTTTTCTTTTGTTGCTGTTGGGTTGAGTGAATTCATTGTATATTTTGGATATTAACTCCTAATCATATGTATGATTTGTAAATGTTTTGTCCCATTTAGTAGGTTGCCTCTTCATTTTGTTGATGGCTTCCTTGCCGTGCAAAAGCTTTTTACTTTTGATGTGGCTCCACTTGTTTGTTTTTGCATTTGTTGCCTTTGCTATTGGTGTCACATTCAAAAAGTCGTTGTAAAAACCCACAGGTTCTTTACCCGACATAATTTGCAGATATATTTTCCCAGTCTGTGACTTCTCTTTTTTTAATTTTTTCTAATGTCTTTTTTATAATATTTTTATTGAGATAAAATTCACACACCATACAATTCACTATTTTAGAGTCTATAATGCCGTGGTTTTTAATATAGTCACAGAATTGTGCAGCCATCACCACAGTTGACTTGAGAACATTTCCTCATCCGCCGAAAGAACTGCACATCCTTTAGCACTTGCTCCTCATTTCTCCCAAGCCCCCAGCCCCAGGCAGCCACGAATCTACTCTCTGTCCCTATGGATTTGCCTGTTGTGGACGTTTCATATAAATGCAATCAGATAATATTCAGTCTTTTGTAACGGGTTTATTTCACTTAGCGTAATATCTTCAGGGTTTGTCCATGTTGTAACGTGTATCAGTCCTTCATTCCTTTACCTGCCAAATTGTATTCCATTGACCCTTGAACAATGGTGGGGGCCTTAGGGGTACTGACCTCCTGCACAGTTAAAAATCTGTGTATAACTTTGGCCTCACCCCAAAACTTAACCACTAATAGCCTACTATTGATCCATATGTTACCCATAACATAGTCAGTTAACACATAATTTTATATGTAATATGTATATGTATTCTTACAATAAAGAGAGCTAGAGAAAAGAAGATATCATAAAAAAATAATAAACAAAATACATTTACAGTATTGTGCTGTATTTATTAAAAAAAAAATCGTGCCTGGGTAGCTCAGTTAGTTGGTTAACATCCAACTCTTTTTTTTTTCTTCACAAATAGTTTATTGTCAAATTAGTTTCCACATAACACCCAGTGCTCATCCCCACAAGTGCCCTCCTCCGTGCCCATCCCCCCTCCCCCCCACATCCATCAGTCCTCAGTTTTTGTCAGCATTCAAGAGTCTCTCATGGTTTGCCTCACTCCCTTTCCCCCACCATTTGCCCCCTTCTTCTCCCCCTTGTTCCTCAGTTAAGTTCCTCCTAATCCTCCTATACGTGCAAACATATGATATTTGTCCTTCTCTGCCTGACTTATTTCGCTCAGCATAACACCTTCAAGGTCCATCCATGTTGCTACACATGGCCAGATTTCATTCTTTCTCATTGCCATGTAGTATTCCATGGTATAGATAAACCACATCTTCTTGATCCATTCGTCCGTTGATGGACACTTAGGCTCTTTCCAGGTTAACATCCAACTCTTGATATCAGCTCAGGTCGTGATCTCATGGCTGTTGAGATCAAGCCCCACATCAGGCTGTGTGCTGAGCATGGAGCCTGCTTGGGATTCTCTCTGTCCCTCTCTCTCTCTCTCTGCCCTACACCCACTCACATATACTCTCTCTCTCTCGAAATAAACATTTTTTTTTTAATCCACTTGGAAGTGGAGCTGCACAGATCAAATCCATATTGTTCAAGGGTCAGCTGCGTTCCACATTTTATTGAAATCATCGGTCAGTTGATAGACCCTTGAGTTGTTTCCACTTTTCAGCTGTTACGTAGAATGCTGCCATAAATACTTGTGTACAAATTTTTGTGCAGACCTGGGTTTTCATTTCTCTCAGATATATACACATAGGAGTGGATTTGCTGGGTTGTGTGGCACTCAGTGTTTAATCTTTTGAGGAACTGGCAGGCTCTTCTCTAAAGCAGCAGGAACACACCATCTTCCGTTCCTGCCAGCAGCGTGCGAAGGTGCCAGTTTCTCTGCATCCTTGTCGACACTTGGTATTATCTGCCTTGTTTATTTAGCCATCCTAATGGATGTGAAGTGGTATTTCATTGTGGTTTTGATTTGCATCTCCCTAGTGGTTTGTAATGTCAAGCATCTTTTCATGTGCTTATTGGACATTTGTATGTCTTCTTTGGAAAAGCATCACTTCAGACCCTTTGCCCATTTTTAAATTAGGTTACTTGTCCTTTTGTTATTGAGTGTAAGTTTTCTTCCTATATTCTAGATAGAAGCCCCTGATCTGATAGACGATGTGCAAAAATCTTCTCCCATTCTATGAAGTGTTTTATTACCTTCTTAAAGGTGTCCTTTGAAAAAAGTTTTTAATTTTGATGAAATCAAATTTGTCATTTTATTTTGTAGCTTATATTTTGGGTGTTGTATCTAACAAGTCATTGCTTCATCTTCTAAGAGTTTCATGGGTTAGTTCTTATATTTAGTATGAGCCATTTTGAGTTCATTTTGGTATATAATGTGAGGTAAGGGTCTAAGTTCCTATCATTTGTATCATGGGAAGATCTCAGAAAGTATGCTAAGTGATAAAAGCAAATTGCAAAATGATATGCACAGTATGATACCATTCATGCAAAATTTAAAAGTGTGAAATATCATGGATTATTCATAGTTATATATGTACACATAGGAAAAAAAAATCACCCCAAAATCTTTGATAATTGTTGCCTCTGAAGGGATGAGAGGAGAGACCGGGACCGGACACAATTGGTGGTCAAGTAGATCTTTGGACTTCTCAGCAGTGTTTTTAGGTTGAAGTGAACTTGACAAAATATGAACAATTTTCAGTGTGGGTGGTTTATTATACTTTTTAGCTTTCTGTATATTTTAAATTTCTCAAAGTACATATACACACGCTCGCACAAATCAAAGAGTTAGCGAACGAGCCGTTTCTCTTCAGCACAACACCCACGACGGCCGTAGCACTGAGGGGAGCCTTTGTGCTTCTGGCCCATCAGCGTGTTTGGGGCAGTTTCCGTTGTGCGGGGTGTTTCTGAGCTAGATCCCAGAAAGAGAAATCCCTTTGTTTGAACTCAGTTGCACACTTCGGCTTGCATTTTCCCAGGTTTGCTTCCACAGAGAACCCGCCACGTGGCACACCCCGGTTCCAAATCTCAGGGGAGCTTCCTTTACCTAGTCTTAAATGCTATCCCACTGCTCCCGGCTCTCTCCAGCGCTAGGCCCGAGCCTTCACAAGGGAAGTGCAGCTTCCACTAAGCATGTGTCCGTCCTCACCTGGGCTCCACGGGATGCCCTCAAAGCCTCACTGGGTGCCTTTGACAAGAGCACTGGCCTGGCCTGGCCCTGGGAGGCGGCCTTCGGGGGAGCCCCTGACGCCCTGGGGGTTCCTGCGGCCTGGGAGCCGCGGGGGGCATGCGCGGGAGCAGACACACTCTCCCGGCATCTCCAGGGGCTGTGCTGCCTGACACAAAGCTCCTAGTCTTTTCTCTGTGTTTTTCTGCCATAAAATTGGTACAAAAACATATGCCCTTTCTATTCACAAGTTATCGTGAGGGTCAAGTGAGATAATGTCCACAAATGTGTCTGCAAACAAAAACGAAAAGATGTTTGTGTATCATTTTGCAACTGTAAGGCCCCAGCGGCTCTCAGATCCTGGACCCAGCTGCTTTGCTCAGACAGTCCACCTGCAGGGACCCCCGTCAATGCTCGTAGCCTCTGTTTTTCCTCCCCGTTGTAGGCCAGTCGAATGGGATTCTCTTCCTTCTCCCTCCCACACCTTCCTTTCTGTTTTCCTTTTCTTCTTCTCTGCAACCTGGAGGCAGCCTGACTCCTTCCTTTCAAATGTGATCACGCAGTGCTGGCCGGCCTGCTGAACCCGCGGTCTAGGCCGGCTTAGACTGACTGAGTAAAAGGACCTTCTTCCCCCTCAGAGAGGTAAGATAGCTGAGATGACATGTTTTATCTCTTTGATTCTCCCAGGCTCAGGCCACAGGATCACCACACACGTCCCCCACGCACGGAGGCGGCCGCCCAATGCCCATGCCTGTCCGCTCAACGTCTGCTGGCTCCACCCCCACCCACTGTCCACAGGACCCCCTGAGCGGAGTTGGGGGAGACATGCAGGAGGCCTTCGCACAAGGTGAGATTTCGGAGCAGAGCTCAGTGGAGAGCTAGAGGGGGTTGGAAACGTGAAGAAGATTCCTACTGAGATTTTTCCAGCTTCTTTTGTGTGCTTAGCTTTAAATGATCAGATTTTCATATACAGTATAAGTAAGTCAAGTGCTGGTCCCGTCTCATTTAGATGGGCTGGTCTCCCAACGGGAAGCCTGTAGGCTTTGTGCGTTTGTGAGGAGCAGGCCTCTGGGGTTTCTGTGTTGTTGTTTTTCCGGGTTATGGGAAGTGCCTTGTCCTTTAGGCTTTGCCTCCTCTGGAGGCATTGGATGGGATAATTCCTGAGGTCATGCTTTGCCTGGAAACTCATTAGAGCGAGTAAGAGAAGGAAGAGCGGAACTCTAAATAGGACCTTGCAGAAGGCACATTCAGCACAGGATTACAGCTGCCTGAAGAGCTGGCAGCCCGCTGTGTGTGGGGTTGGGGGAAGACAGCGCAGCTGAGGAAGTCCTGGTAGGGAGACAAAGAACGGCGTGTGGAGCCGCTGCAGAGTAAAGTCCCACCTCAGGCCGAGGGGCCTGGAATCCAACTCTCGTTCTGGACCCCAACTCTCTTGATGGTGGCTAAGAAGCGTGCAGCCAACAGGGTCCTACTCTTCAGGTAGAAAAGAAGAGGGAGGAAAAGGAGGACTTGGGTGCCTCGTGCCCCTGATGTGCCCAGGCGCGGGTGGAGGTGCCGCAGCCCCATCTCCCCTAGGTGCCCTGCACTGTGTCCAGGGCCTGGCAGACTGAGGCGTGCGCTCGGCTCCTTTCTCTACGCCCACCCACCTGCCATCGCCGTCTGCTCTGACTGTCCTCAGGTACGAGGAGAAACCTCCGCAGTGACCTGCTGGTGGCCGCTGATTCCATCACCAACACCATGTCATCCCTGGTGAAGGAGCTCCACTCAGGTGAAGCCCAGAGCTCCTGCCCGGCCTCACGCCTCCCCTCCCATCCCTACGCCCTCCTCGCTTCCTCACCATGTGGTAAAACGTCATCCCGTAGCACACGCTACCTCAGTTCACCGCTCAGTCTTTTTGCCTTCTAGGAACACACTGACCATCTTCGCCCAGAGAGCCTGTCTCCCACACGCGATCACACAGACGCTGACACGTTATGTTTCTCTTAACAATGCACCTTGTAGATATGCACACAGTCCACGTCTCCCCTCACACACAGTTAGCCCCTTCTCTGCTTCACCCATCCCCCACCAGCTCTCCGTCCACAGACTCTCTCTCCCTAGGGCTGCTCGGCCGTCTCTTCCGAGGCTTTCCTGGATGACTGGAACTGAATCAGCCACAAAAGCTTCTGGACTTTTCTCCCAGTTGCCTTCCTGCTCTCTCCTATTTGATTTGGTTTTGAAACCCTGTTCTCTCCTTTTGTCCATGACTAGGCTCTGATTTCATGTGACGTTCGTGACCCGAATCTGTTGCTTCTTCGCTCCTCTGTCCAGTCTTCCCTGTGGCTCCTTCCTCAGTCTCTCCATCACTCAGCTATTTCAGTGACTTTCCAGACACCCTTGCCTCACTGTGCCTCTTACATAAAACCCATGAAAGAGAGAAATAATAAAAGGCCATTCCCATAGCGTCACATTTTCAAGAGTCCCCATGGCTCTCTTCGTTTCATAAAGCCAGGTATTTACTGATTGGATTATGGTAGTCAGATTCCCAGGTTCCCTATCAAACACGTAGGTTCCCTTCCTAAGTGCTATGCATGGCCCTTCTTGGTTCTTTCCCCCTAATATAATGCTTTTAAATATGCTGAAGTCACTTAATAAGGTTATTAAATGAAAATATAAAGCAATGTTTCCATGGACTGTTCAAACACATCCACTGAAATCATCAGTCCAGGCTCTTACGGAAGAGAAGCCTTGGGTATTTCTTCAGACCCCCGAAGGAGAAGCACACATCTTTAATGTTTTCGGGGTCTGGCCCATGGCTTCACTCTCAAATCTGCCAGTTTCCACTCAGAAGAGAGGAAGTGCATGGCCTAGGTTGGTTTTGTCAGTGCAGTTAAGATGCCAGTTCTTCCACGGAGGGGGTGTGAAGTTGACAGTGTCTCCATTCCGGACCCACTCCTCAGTCCTCACCACCCCTCTCTATTGTATTATAAACACACATAAATACAAGAGATGACTTCACAGGTGATTAGAAAGTCCCTTCCCTAATAGAGCTTCCCACAGATGGCAGAAATCCCACTTTTTGAAAGAATTTCAGGCCATGGAAATTAATCACGCTGTGCCTTGTAACTGCCTACAAGGGTTTGGACAAAATCAGTGGCTCTTGGGCTCATCACACTAGGTGAGAATGACTGGACACCATTAAACACACTGCACGCGGAGGCTGAATATCCTCAAAAAACTAACAGGTCGTAGGGATACTCAGCAGTCTCTTCTGGTAGGAAAGGATGGGTTTAACAAAATGGTGTGATGTGTTTGGAAGGTACCTTAGCACAGTGTCTAGTCCCTTTCAGAAATGTAGTGACTGATTATCAGGAGTGGTTTGCTTGAAGTTGTGCATCCTGAAGGGGCAAAGCCGGTCCTAGAACTTAGGTCTGAAAAACCTGAAGCCGATGCTCGTACCACCACAGAGCCCTTCCGCCCACGCAGGACAGGGTGTCAGATTTACAGTCCCCCGAAGGCCCCTTTCACTGACGCTCTGCTCTCTCGAGCCCTGAAGTCCACAGATGGCTGTGGACTGAGTCCACACATGACACAGCATCTTTACAAAATGCAGAAATAGATTCCCTTTAAATGGAAGAGTCTTGCCCAACACCATCACTGTCAAGGGTTTTGTTAGGATGAAGTGAGATGTTCAGATTGTCTTTACATATTTTCCATACCATGTGAGCATACTGTTTACAGGCATAGCCTGGCCCCCTCATCTTTTTAAAAACATTTTCACAAATAATAGAATCTTACGGTTGGAAAAGATCTTTGAAGTCATTTAATCCAGCTTGCTGCCCGATATAAAAGTCCTCTGGGTATTTCCAGTGAGCTCATTCATGACCAGCTCTCATCATGAGGAAGTTCTTTCTTATCAGGGAGCCAAAATTTGCCTTTCTGTAAGCAATTTATCCTCATCCCACCCTCTGAAGCTACGCAGAGTAAGCTCAGCCGCTCCTACTCCTATTAATTTAGCCTTTCCAGTGTTTGATGACAGGTGACATGGTGTCCCTAAGTCTTCTCTTTAGGTGACCTTCTGATGTTCCTTCAGCCATTCTTTTTTTTTTTTTTTTTTTGAGAGAGAGAGCATGGGAGGGGCAGAGAGAGAGGGAGAGAGAATTCCCAAGCAGGCTCCGTACTGTCAGTGCAGAGCTCAACAACGAGCTCAATCTCACAAAATGTGACATCACGACTTGAGCCAAAATCAAGAGACCAAAGCTTAACAGACTGAGCCGCCCAGGTGCCCCTCCTTCAGCCATTCTTAATGTGACGTGGCTTTCACTTCACCATTTCACTCTCAGCCCTGGGAGGTGGCTGAGAGTTTAGAGGCCACAGTTCTAAGTGAGCTCCCGGAGCTGAGCACGCCCCTCCCTGCCGTGGGGGGTGTGCTCCCTACAGAGCCCACCTCCCTACCGACTCTGCTGCCTGCTTCCCTGCTGCCAGCGCTGGGCTGGCTGCCTCTTCGCTATGCCTGCTTTGGCTCCGGGGGACTCCGGGGAAAGCAACCTTCAAGGGCATTAGCTTTTTCCACACAGCCACCTTGCTGTTCAGTCATTTTAAGTTTGTTATCAGCTAAAACTTCTAGTTTGGGGTTTTTTCTTTTTTAAAAAATGTTTTTTTAAGTTTATTTATTTTGAGAGAGACAGACAGTGTGAATGGAGAAGGGGCAGGGAGAGAGGGAGAGAGAGAATCCCAAGCAGGTTCCATACTTCCTGCACAGAGCCTGACGTGGGGCTCAAACTCATGAAACCAGGAGATCATGACCTGAGCTGAAAACCAAGAGTCCAACACTTAACCGAGTGAGCCACCCAGGCGCCCACCTTTCGGTTGTTTTTTCTTGACAGAAGCTAGTGTTAACCGAGGTATTCTCCCACCATGTACTTTCATGGTTGCTTTCATGAACCTGAATGCAAGGTATTAGATGTATTCCGAGTGGGTGTCGTCCCCTTAGGGAAAGCAGGCCTGGAGAAGAGGCAGCCAGCCCCAGCCCAATCACCAGGGAGGCCAGCAACAGAGCCAGCAGCGGGGCGGGTGACCTCAGCTGTGCTGCCCCTAAGGACATAGGGCTTACGGGTAAACAGCGCTAGGATGTGCACCACGCAGGGCGCGTACTAGCTGAGCGTCAGCACCCGTGGAGGCCTGCGACCATGAGCCTTTAGCTAGGGCTTTGTCCCGAGCCTGCTGAGTTACCGCCTTCACCCTCCTTCTATGCTTGTGCTGTGCTGAAGGGTCACTGGCCTCCTTGGACTTGTTTTCACAGCAGAGGAAGGTGCAGAGGAAGAAGAAGAGAAGATGCAGAATGGGAAAGACAGAGGTAAAGGCAGCTCACAGGACCCCTAGTTTGAGTGGGAGGCGGAGCTAGACAGCCCCTGAGGGAAATGCCCCTCCCTTTTGTTTCTGCTTTCCTTCCCTGGTGCCCCTTCCCCCAAAGCTTTCAGACCCCCACAGTTCCTTCTGCCTACTTTTCCCAACTGACCATCAAGGTTTTCCCTGGAGGTGGTGGTGTCAGGCGATGAAGAAAAGCCTCCTGATTTCCTGATACTATGATAGATGGTTCGGATATAGGAAGTAGATAACAGTGGAGCACAGAACATGACCCTTCACCTCCAGGAGTTTGTAATATAGTTAGAAAGGCAAGACAGAGATATGCAGAATCAATAGGAGATAAAAATGAAGTCGCAGGAAAAGTTAATCATCAAACTTTGTGTGATTATAACTACAAGAAACATTTCTGAAAAAGAAGAGATTCTTGTAGGCAGAATAGCCAAATGGTTTTCTGGCCTCAGTGGAAGAAGGAAAAGCAATTAAAAAAAAGGTATCAGCGAAGGACAGTAATGCCTTCCTGGTTTTCTTATATATAAAACTTGCTTAATAACTTGTTATGTACAAGGGGCTGTGCTAAAAGATGTCCACATATTATCTCATTTGGTACTAAACAACCCTGTGAGACACATAACGAGGACCCTATTTTACCAGTGAGAAAATAGGCTAGGAGAAGTATAGATCATGTAGCTATCAGGAGGCAGAGATTCAGTGTGAACCGGGTCCTTGTGACCCCACACTCTTCATCTTCATGTGTCTGTGCTATGCTGAACACATAATATTTGAGAGTTAGTTCTTCGCTCATATGTTAATATGTCTATTTCTAGATTCCTCCAAAACATAAGCTCCACGAGGTAGAGATTTTAATCTGTTTTGTTCAGGATGTATCCCCAGTTCCCAGGAGAGTGCCTGGCACATAACGAGGTACCAGTAAATTATCAAATACAGGGAAATAGGCCAGGTGATGTACTAGAGAGTGCTTCCTCAGGGAGACAGCGGGAGTGGCCCCGAGGAGGCTGGGCTCTGGAACATGCGCCCCCTCTCTCCACCTGTGCCGAATGCTCTGCACAGAGCACACCCTTCCTGTTTGATTTCACAGCCCACGAGCAAGGATTCGAGATAGGGCACAGAACGGTTAAATAACCTGCACAGATCGTAGCTGGCAGAGCCGGGATTCGGTGCCCATGTAGCTGGTAGACGAGGTGAAGTGAGAAGAGTCGTAAGGAAGGGGGGGAAGAAGTGGAGTGGGAGCTGCAGGCAAAGAAGGTGGGGAGAGAAAGGAGAAGTGCCCGGGGATGGGGTCTGCAGCGCTACCTGCCGCGGGGACTCGCGGGGACAGTTGGGGCAGGCCTTCAGAGTTTGCGGCCAGCACTGAGACTGGAGACACACGCGCCAGGTGCCACCGTTGTCCAGTGAGTCAGAGCGAGGCCTGTTAGGCAGTGGATGGGAGCTGTGGGGGATTGAGGAGAATGGCATGGCCAGCCGAATGTCGGAAGCATTTGGTCAGCGGTATTTGAAACATCGAGCAGGGCTACAGGACTGGTGGAGAAGACCCACCCTCCTTGCCGAGAGCGGACGAGGAAGAAGGCAGAAGGGTTGTCGTGCAAGAGACAACGAGGGGAGGAGATGCACAGAGACAGGTTCACACTCTAAACACGTGATCCAGTCACACGCACACACAAACAACCCAACCAGATCCTAGCGTTCATGTGCAATGTTCTTGGCTGAAGCCATAACAGCTGCTGCTTTGGCCTCTCTTCCCGTTGACTCTCCCTTCCCGGTAGCTTTTCCCGTGGCTTCTCCTCAGCCTCCCTGCGTTCTGTGTGGCTCACGGAAGGTGGCCCTCACCACTTGGCATTGCCGTGACCATGGACTGCAGCCCTGGTCCTGGTTCAGGTCTGGGTGCGGGCTGCATCTCACACGGGGACAGGCGTGGTTTCCCTTGCCTGATGCCTCCCGGTCTCAGGGGCCTCTGTCCACACCTGCGTTCTCTACCAGCGTCTCTCCTCTCTGCCCCTCTTGCTCTTAGTGTCTCCCCAGCCCTCTCCCAGCGCACACACCAGCGTTTCTGTCTGTCCCCGTGAGACCCGAGGAAGCGCTTGAGTTTCCGTTGCTGTGGTATTAGGTGCCATCCCAAGGAAAAGGGTGTTAAGAGCCAGGGTGAGACCTGGGTTTTAAACAAATGTTTGACTCTGGGCATTGTACAGGTGCCAGGAGGTATCCTTGTAGCTGAACTCTGGCAGGTTTGTGGGTGGAAGTACAAGCCAGGTATTTTTACGGATGGACGTTCTGATTGTCTGCCATAGTCCAGACATGAGATTTTACTGTAGACCAACATGGTGGTAACTGCAGTCACCCAGGCTTTGGAGAACGGTGACTATCAACCAGAGAGAGAGGAGGTGTGCCGCGTTGGTGTTGAAATCATGCTGACCTAACATGACACAACTTGGTCAGCACCCCACCAGGTAGACATAGTCTGCTCAGTGCAGAAACTGTAAGAGCCAAGTGGGCACTTTTGAAAAATTCGTGACCAAGCCAGACTTCACGAGCACATTCTCCCCTGCTTCAGCCCCCTCGCTACCTTACCCCAAACCTCTGTCTGGCCGCATCCTGGGGAATGCATCTGCTCCCCTGAGGTGCCGCGCTGACTTCCCATCCCCTCACAGCTCCCCTGTTGTGTGCAGAGTCCTTGTGGCCAGGACTACACAGATGAAACAGACTAACACTACTTCAGAGCCTGAAATTCATCTCGGCTGCTCCAGAGCTTCATTCTATGCTCCTTTGTCCTTCAGAGCTGCCTCTCCCAGAACCTGCCACCCACGGTGTTGGGAGCTGCAAATCCAGTTTGCACGCTCAGAGTACACTGGTGTGTGTCCAGTAGACCGACAGCAGCCGCCCTCTGTGAATTCTCAGGCTTTTGGGGGTGCAGGCAGTGTTCAAGATTTCAGGGTGAGCAGGAGTGATTTAGCAGTCCCAGGCAGATATGCCTGCAGGCAGGGAACACCGCCACTGTCAACACTTAATTCCTTCTCACCTCGGTCACTTTCAGAACCAGATGGGCCGTGCCCCCTGATGTAACTGCTCCCTTGATTTAGGGTGGCTTCATTTCCATTTTAGCAGTAGTATTTCCCCTCCCCCAAGAGACACTTGTTTCTCCATGGTCTTATGTTCGTTGCAGTTGTTGGTTGTAGGTAGTGTGACTCTTCCTGGCCCTTTTCATACCTGGTCGGGGAAAGCCAGCATAGAGGGGAGAAGGGGGAGAGGCAAGTCCAGAAGCCCATGGGTGCGTGGGCTGGTCAGTCCCCGGGGAGAAGATGCAGGCTGGTGGGACACCCCAGGTGTGACTCCGTGTGTTGTTTGTATCTGTGCTGCACAGGTTAGCAGAGGAGCCAGGACAGAGAGGAAGCGCGGGTGAGTACAGTGTTCTCTGCCCTCCCCACGGCCCCTTTCCCTTGTACGTAAGGTCTTCTTTTCCCTCCTCCCTTCCCTTGGTCTCCCTTTCCAAGCCAGCCATCCTGAAGGGTGGGGCTTCCAGTTAAGGTTTTCCTTAAAGAGCCCAATTGCACCTTTTAGCTTTGCCGCAGCCCCGCTATCATACCCCCTTGGCCCCTTTTCCAGGCTCTGACCGATTGCTCTACACTGGGCCCCGGCCTGGGCCTCAGGCATGGCTTGGTGTCACCGGTGTCTGGATGCAGCTGGCAGACCCAAGAGCTGCTTCCGGCCACCTCTGCCACCTTGTGGTTGCCCACAACCGCTATTATTTTTCTCCCAGGGTCCATGCCAATGCCCCAGGCTCCCATGCCCAGAGCCATGGCCTGCCATGGAACCTGACCACAGACACGTATTTCCATCCTACAAGGTCACGTTCACTCCCACCAAGCCAACCAAGCCCTTTCCCGTGGTGCCTGCCAGTCCGTACCCCCTCATCCAAAAAATTTAATCAAAGTACGAATTTCCCTATTGGACAGTGCTCACTGCTTAAGGAGTTAGTCTTTCACATCTTTCCATCTGAGGACCTTAGCCCTTCTCTCCTCCCAGCTCCAGGGCAGTGAGGCTTGGGGCCTGCTCGCTAGATAGAAGTGATGAAAGTAATTGGACCACCAGTCTGTTCGAAAGAGTTTTTTCAAGGATAGAGGTCTTTGGTTTGGCCATGAGATATCTCTTTATTTGTCAATCTTTCCTCCCATCCCCCACCTCTTGTGTTTAAGTCAGGCCGTCTTCCTCAGTTACAGATCTTCCAGGCAGAAAAGCCAGGGCTGTAGCCCATGATCCCAAAAAAGGAACATCTCCAGGCCTCTTCCTCCCGGCCCCACCCCCAGGTGCCCCTGGCCCTCGAGGGGGGGCTCTGTTCCACTCGCTGCAAGACCTGCTGACTCAGGGATCGTGCAAGCCTCCATGGGAAGCCCCCGAGCCGCAGTTCCCTCGCTGCCCTGGTAATCTCAGGGCCTCCAGGGCTTGGGCAGGGTTTTACCTACACTCACTGTGCACTCAGGTGAGGCCCTTCCCCACAGCAGGCCTAGGCTGCCGCAGCCAGTGAGGGAGTCAGGAGCTGACTTGCCCCTCAAGAACTTGCCAGAGCCCGGGGGACGCGGAGGACCTGGGGGATAAAGATAGGCACACCAGAGCCAGCTGCCCCCAGCCCTTCGTGCAGAGGAGGGAATGAAGGCCCACGGCCTGGGAGCGTGGCGCCAGAACTAGAAGCAGAGCTGGGTCTCCTGACACTGTCCTCAGATGCGACTGGGAGTTAGGAGAAGCTCATCAGGAGGACAGAGTCAAACGAAAAACATAAAAACTCAGGTGGCTCAGTTCACAGACCCTTAAGTTCTGCCTCTTCCGACCTGAGTCTAAGGCTGTCGTTCCTGCCACCCGGTGTTTGTAGGTACGTCTCCAAGCTCGGTGCCCTGCTCCTCGGTCACAGTCCTTCTTCCCAAAAAAGCACCACCTTCCAAACCTTGCACTGCAAACCCAATTCTTTCTTCCCAGAACCGTTTCCTGACCCTGTGACCCCAGCAGCAACTCCCAAAAACTCTAGGTACCCCCAGAAAAGAGAAAGCCCCTTTCCCTTAAAAGAGGCATGAGTGTTATCAACCCTTTGCATCTTCTGAGTTGAAAGGTAAGCCTCCCAGCAGCCCCACCCCAGGACATTGTCTTGTCCCCGGCAGAAGTTAGTGGCGTTTGCATGGAGACCCTGTGCAGCGCCCCTGAGTAACAGCGCGTCTGTCCTGCACAGGCACAGGGCACATGTAGCGAGCTGGCGTTGACGTGAGGAAGGCGAGGTCCTCCCCCAGAGGCGCATTCCTGTCCATCTTTCGGCTGCACACCTGGACCAGGCCTGCAGGCTGCCAGACGTCACTGCCTGGCAGGGAGAGGGGAGCGTGAGCCGGTGGGAAATGGGAGGGACTGCCTGATGCCGCTGCCGCCGGTGGGCCTCCCCCTTGCACAGTCCTGCATGAACTAGCATCTTCCTCACTTCCCTCGGGCCACGGTCTCATCTCTGCAACAGGAATTTACCGGGAGGTTGAAAAGAGAAAAGAAACAGCACGAATCTCCTGTGTGTGTGACCTGATGGAGTTCTTGCTGGCCTCCTGCCGGCGCTCGGCCTGCTCCCTAGGGTGGGGGCGCAAGTTTCCTTACCACCTTTGACCTTTAAAACCCAACAGGTTTTCTTCCCTGTATCGTGCAAAGACAGCTTCAGGCTTTGCTGAGTTTTACAGACATTCACACCCTGGCCACAGTGCTAAAAATAGCCTCCTTCCTTTCTCTCATACTGGTTAGCTAGGCTTCCGCCCCGCTTGATGCCGCTGCTCTGCAGCCTGGGCGGGAAGGGAGAGCAGAGAGCTCTGCACTGCAGCCCCGAAACAATTCTTTGCAGCAAAGCCCGCGGCAGGCCGGCCGGCCAGGGAGCACTGACCCGTGACCACCAGAGGGAGCACTGACCCCCGGGCGCCGTGCTCCCGCTGCCCCCCCTTCTCAGGGTTCCATTCTGCTCTGGCACACATGATAATCAATCCCAATTCCCGGTGATTTTCATTTATTTTTTTCTGCTCCCTGGGCTCCAGGATGTTATTTTTAGTAGTAGAACTGCTATAAATATTTATAAAGGGCAGTGACTGGAATGAAGTGAGAGGCCCCACAGCTGGCTCTCTCATCCCCCCAACACACACACCCCTGCGGACCCCTGCCCGCTGCCTGAGAAGCCAGTGGGCTCAGCCCGTAGCCACCCACGGAGGGAGTCACGTGGAAACCTCGTGAGGGCACAGTCAGGGCGAAACGGGTGGGGTTAACTCTGTCCTTCCCTCTCGCTGTCTCTGCTTCCTCATTACTCCCACCCAGGAAGGAGGTCAAGGCTTATTCCGGGAGTGCTGTGCCCTGCTCGGCCCAGGGCCTGGGTGTCATGAGTACTGGGCATGGGGGCAGGTGCAGCTTGGATCACTCCAGCTGCGTGAGAGCAGACAGGAGATGGGAGCCTGCGGAGAGGCCCAGGGGAGGGGGTGGGGGGTTGCCGCCCGGCCCAGCTGGGACCACCAGTGAGCCCCTGGAGGGCCAGCAGGGATGCGGGTGAAACAAAAGCGTCTGTGAAAAGGTTCTCCCACACACTCAGGAAACAGGGATCCAGCCTTGCCTGGAGGGCCGGATGGGGCAAGAATGAACGTAACCGTATGGAAAGTTCTGAGGGACACTCCCTGCCAACCAGTGGTGAGATTAGGTTGGGATGGGGTGGGGGGGCAGGGCTACAACAAGGTATCAGGGATGACGGTGTGTTCCCCCACAACCCTGACTCCCCACTCTGAGGACGGGGCACGACCCCCCCTTCCCGATTCCTCGCATGAACTGCTGGCTTCTTCCAGGGCAGAAGGAGCCAAAGAACAGTCAGATTAAAAGCACCAGTGGCTCCCAAACAGCCAGGTGCTCAGGCCAGCTAAGGTGCACGTGAAGGGTGGCGGCAGCCTCGGCCCTGCGCACCTATCCGCATCTGGGAGGCTGCCCGAGCCCACAAGGCCCACAGCCACTGCTCAGCTAGTGCTTGCGCCAAGGAGTACCCTTAGCATCTTCAACTGGGGGAGACACTCTGGACTCCCGGCCTCTGGCGTGCACCTGGGGGACGATGGGGAACTAAAGAGAGGCACAGCGATGAGCTCAGATGCCAGCCTGACAGTGCATGGGGTGAGGGTTTTATATAAATTCTAGTTGACAGGTGAGTTCTTCTACAGCTAGAATATCCACCATTATCTACAGACCCCGAGGTGCCTCCTGACTTCTTGGCATCTGCTGCAGGACGCAGATCCGTATCAAGAGCTTGATGCCAGTCCCTTTCCTCGATTCTGACCTGGGACACAGGTGTCACCCGTGTCCTTCTTAATTATTCTGTGGCCATTAGGAGTCTAATTTAACCTGAGTAGATGATCTTCTAAAAGAAGTGACATATACTGTCAGCACCATAGGCCCCCTGGGCTGCTGTTTCGTAGCCATGAAGACCCCTTGAGAGGTCCTGAATGCGTCCTGGGTCTTGAAGAAGTTGCAGCCACACCAAGTGCAGGTCGCAGCCGTGCTGAGGTCCCGTGTATTCTCACAGCCCCCTCATCTGCTGCTTGTGCTTTATCCACTGGCAGACTCCCCCTCTTTTGCATTGCTTACTCCCTACTCCTGTAGTCCGTGACAGCTTCAGAAAGGTACAGTTGCTATGGCAATGCCTGGAGCCATCTGAATTCCTGCTACACCTTCTGGAAGAAAAGGGCTTATGAAGAACCATTCAGTGGATTCCAAAGCTAGCCTCCCCAGGCTTCTCCTCTGCCAGGGGCCAGACAGCTGTTGCAACCTGGAGGTGTGGGAGATAGTAGCCCATCTTCCTTGGGATGGTGCTCCCATGGCCGCAAGCCACACGCACCTGCATGGGTTCTCCATGTGTGGGTCAGAGAACAAAGGCTTCCTACCTGGGGCTCTTAGGTAAGATACAAGACCGGTGGTTCTGAAACTTGGAATCCCCTGGAAGTTTGTAGTATGTGGATAGCCAGGTCCCACCCGCAGTTTCTGACTCAGTAGCAGTTCTAACAAGCGTGGGTAGCATTGGTGCTGCTGATCTGAAGACCACGCAGCAAGGACCACTGTACATGTTTATGAGAAGAAGAAAAGGCACAGGAGACATCGCCAGGCAGGTGGGGAACGGCCAGAGTCAGTGGTCTGTTCCAAAGGAAGAAAAAGAGGGGCCTCAGCAGTCACTTGTATGCTTAGGTGCCCTGGGGAGCATGTGCCAAGACTGGTGGTCTTAATTGTTTGGGGGTATTTTGGTCTCCAACAAGCAATAATGACCTGCCCCCTAGACGTGTTCAGATAGGGCAGCATTACAAGCCAGGCCACCACTGTACGGAAGGGCAATACCCCAGATGCCCAGGGGGCCGAGCAGGTCGTGCACCGTCTGGTCTTCACAGTGAGGGAGGCTGAGGGCCCGGCTGGCTCCAGTGGGAGACGGGGAGAAGCGGTGTAATGGCCACCCAGCCCCACAGTGGGGGCTTTCCACCAAGATGCTTTCCCCAGAATGCAAACCTTGTCTTCCATGTTAAGTTGTGTTTGGGGCCCCGCTGGGCTGCTTATTCCAGCCTACCTGAAGCTGCGACTCCCGTGAGTGGAATCCATTTCCCAAGGGGAAATGACTCCCGGAGGGCCTAAGGCGAGGGTGGCCAGCCTTCCCAGTGATGAAGAGCAGATCCCGGGGTTCTGACGCCTTTCTGCACACTTAGCCCTGCCTGGCAAGCCCGGCCCGTGGGCTGTGTGCTGGGGTCTCTCCTGCCAGGTGTGGCTGCAAATAGGTGGAGCGTGCTGGCGCCGTCTGCCCTCTGCCCCCTACTCCAAGGAGGGGGGACAGCCAGGGGGGAAAGAAGTGGGCATCGAATCCGTTGACAAGTTCCAGGAAGCGATACCAGTTCCCCAGGTGTGTGAAGGTTTGGATGGGCAGTGAGTGCTTTCATTTTTGAATGACCATGAGGAGAACTGGGACTTGGCAGCGGTGAGAGGGCTCTTGGAAGGCGGGCACCAGAGAGCATCTTGGTATTTCTGAATCAAAGGGAGCCTAGCACTGCTAGAGGTAGAGATTAAGAAGTGACAAGTGCAAGCGCCTGGCTGGCTCAGTCGGTAGAGCACGCGACTCTTGATCTAGGGGCCATGGATTCAAGCCCCATGGGTGTAGAATTTACTAGAAAAGAAAAAACATGTTGGGGGGGCAGGGAGCGGACAAGTAGCTCGATATGGGACTGTCGTTCATTTGAGAAGATACTTAGGAGTTCTGGCGGTGTGCTGAACCCCAGGACCCCTCTTCAGGCCTCACTGAACATGGGGCCTTAGAGGTTAAGGTTGAAGCCTGGTCTGAGTTCCTAACTAGGGCACGGGAATGGGCTCGGAGGGGCTGCGCTGCCCTCTGAAGCCTGTCAGACTGGGGACAGTGCACCGGGGAAGGGAAATGGTCACTGCTCAGAGTGGTTCTGGACACTTGGAAGCATTGGTCTGCAGGCCCGTGGACAGGAGAGGAGGCAGAAGGATGTGTCTGGAAGAATTAGATGAATCCCCCACAGAGTCCTCAACCAGAGAAACCTCTTGGGGCCTCGGCCTGCAGTCAGGGGCGTGCCTCCCGCCACCGCCACCAACGGAGTTTGAAGGCTGTGGGAGGATGGCCGGCAACACGCTCCTCCCTGCCCGCACCCCAGTTCTGGTGAGGGGCGCCGTGAGTCCTCAGTGCACCTGCACACACGGGGGGGCCTCTGGCTTTCAGGTTTAGGCCACAGGTGCTGCAGCTTTCTCCCCTCAGGGGAGTGAACCCTCAGACACAGCATATGACCTGGGGTGAGGTGGGTGGGGGCACGTCTACGCCAGCAGGTCTCAAGATCACCTGTACCCCATGAGCTTCTCGTTCAGGTCCCAGCTCATGGGTCATGGTGGCTCCACGATGGCCTGGACCCAGGACCTCTGTCACTTGGTCTTTCCCTCCCTCCCCCAGCACGGCTAGCATCCTTGCACACCAGGTGTTCATCATTCCCTACTAGCAAGAACTCCGCTGGTTCCTGGACCCAAAGCTTCTGGAAGTCCTCCCCACCCACAGCTCCTCAGAATCCTGGGCCTGCTGCTCAGGGCCCCAGTCTTCCTGATCCCTCAGAAAGCAGACCCTGGGGCTCCTCCTCCGCAAGGCCTGATAGCCGTCAGTGGCAACGGTTGATGTCTTGTTCACCAGCGTATGAATGGCCTGGGTGAGGCCCTGCCTGCCAAGGCCCCTGGGCCTTCGAGCTGTTGCCTCTGTGAGGCTCCCCTGATGGGGTTGGCGCCGCGGAAGAAGGTGTGTGCACCTGGGGCTGCCGAGAAGGAGAAGAAGGGCCTGCAGAGAGGAAGTAGCGCGCCAGGCAGGCCCGAGGAGCAGCTCAGGGACAGGGCGCGAGCCAGGTGCCGGTGTCGGCTGAGGGAGTCGGCCTGAGCGTCCTTCCTGCTGGACCAGCTCCTCGGAACCAGATTCAGCCTGGACAACCTGAGTGTGAGGAAGGAGGCCTCTGGGCCTGGGGACCTCACTGGGTTC